CCGCACCGCAGACGCGCCGCACGCCCGCATTCCACGTGTGATAACGCCGTCAAATGAGCACACGACACATGCACCTCCCTTTGTGTTTACAAGTCTTCATTTATCTGCTATGCTAATTACATGTCGTATGTTTTTACATGTTCTTAACGACACAATATGCAGGCCGCAGGATATTGATAATATGTAAATTAAGACAGTTGCATTACCTGACAAATTAATTTCATATAGCAATGTAAATTAGAATAACGTTATGGATACACAAATATATTAAGTGACAAATAAAACTAAAACATGGTTGTAGGTGAATATATAAATTCACATTAATTGAGCGACAGGTATGGCGATTGTTTATTATCAACATACGGGCGTCATCGGCAATAGGAATTACAATAATAGACATTACAATGAAATAACATAATGTAGCGAGTATAAATAGAACCCGTATCAGCTGGCATTACGAAGGTTACATCGTCGAGCCTTCAAAGTTTGAAACAAGCGCTAAGAAAGAAAACCCGTTGACGAAAACTTTGCACATCATAATATTTCCCGACAATGTATAAGTATTCAGGTTTACATAACGACTTACATAATAAGTGAAAAACTTAAATGTTTAGTTGTACTTTATTTCAATGAACCAATAATCAAACATTAGTTGACTAATCAGTTGTGAAACTGCTGCGCCAACAAACAAGTTCGGTGAAGTGTGAAATGGTTTCTGATCGAGAAGTGAATCCTATTAATTTGCCTAATGTCTGCCCGCGGCCGTCACGGTGCAATCAGGCGAGACATTAATTAGTCACGCCTGGGCTGCACCATTTGAACCCTCAGCCCTTCTTTCATATCCTTCAACTATTCACTCTCGTTTGCGAGACATTTTCGCTAATGGCAAATCCAAACACTTGAATCGAAAAATGAGATTTGTCTGGCACATTAGGAAAGCATGCAAATAGGCTGTTTTGCCAAATCGGATAAATTCCGACAAAATTATAATTTGATCATTGTGATAAGAAAAGGTTAGGTAGATTACAACATAATCAAATTATAATAAAAGTATTATTAAAACAGATTAGGGACCACAATTATTGTGTAGGTTTTATCAAAAGTCGGGGAAAACATTGTCATTTAAATTACATAGTTGTTTACATGGATGAAATATAATTTTCCAACGATAAATGTGTTTCCATTAAAGTTGTGATCGCACTTTACATTATTCGTTAAGGCTTGATGTTATGTCTGATGCTTTTTTTCTTCAATTCGTTGCGATTTATGTCGGCGGTGTAGCGTGTCGGGGCGTGACGCTGCGTGGTGGATTAATTCGGCCCGCTATGACCTGCGCTCGCTCGAGCAACGCGTGGGGAAACAAGTGTGACTTGAGGGTACGAAAAATCGTTCATGCACAACCAAAAATGACCGTATTTTAGAATTGGATGAGTCACTTTAAATTACTGTTACTATAGTGATGTGTTTATATACAACAAATACCTTTTGCTGTTATAGTAGTGAATATGATTAACGAAAATCATGTGATATTTATATTTTCTAAATAAAACGAAATTGGTATTTTTGTTAACAATTAACTTTGTCTAAATTTGGTTGATTTAGTCCGATCGATTTTTTTAATGAACGAACTGTTCTGTACAATTAACGACAGCGCACTTAATTGTTTCGTCTCACACTTAGGGTGAGTTGCACCATATCGCCGGTTACCGTTAAAGTTAAAATTATTTGAAATGGTAATATTTGGAATAATCTTAAAATTTACT